CACAAACCATGACTCACCTCACATGCCACTGGTCTGACTGTTCCGATCGCTTGACATGTCTATTGTAAACCTTCCTCACTTTTATTTCGTCTGATGAAGAGCACGTGTCAAGAGCTCGAAAATTCACAAGAGCCTTTTGCTTTTTCCGAAGAACCCCTGCTTTTCTTCATATATACATATCTACCTACTACATGTAATTTAGTAGGCGTATTTACTGCGCTCCAAAACTCGCAAATCTTTCGCATCCTGTGGGTACTTTTAGTTTAACTAGTTTTAGTTCAGTTGTTGTTTTGTTGTTTGGTTTACAAATTTACTTTAAGCTATAGTTTCAGTTAACTTAATTTTTAATTCAATTTTGTTTTATAAGCAGCGTACAGCTGCTTATCAGCTTATCGCGGGTTAACGATATCGAAGTACTTCAGCATAGTACAATGTTGCCCTGCTCTCTTAGTAATTCCTTTGTGACGACGATTTAGGACCTGAACTCATTGGTATGTTTGTAATAGCTTTCACTTATTCCCTTGGAAAGTTTCAATAACACACATACGCAAACCAAGAATCTTGTACGTAGATAACCTAAATCCCAGTAATTAAAGCTTTGAAATAACTTCGAAAGGCTGAACCTTAATATAAATTGCCGTCAAAAATATAAGGTGATGCAGTGACGCTGCCTATGTTTTTCCAGGTGACCGATTCATTCCATCTTTTTGGTATATGAACTTCACCTATGCTGAAACGGGTCTTCATCCAATCTTCTTCATCCAATCTACCTACTTCTATAAAAAGAAAGTCCATTTTATTTTCTCTTTTTGTGTAGGCAAGACATTACATCACTTCAGCACTGAAGCGACGCAATTGCAAGGCCACTTCTGAGTTCTACGATGAGGAAGATCTGTTCGAGAAGGTGAGTAAGCGATCTCTTACATAGGTTACCCCAAAATGCCAAAGCGTCAGCAAGCAAACCATCTCATCTTGCCTTGTATATCTATGAAAACGATCAGAGTAGCCATAGCATTCTTTTTACGAAAGTGAGTGTTTTATCCCGAACTTGGTAAGTTATTGTTCTCCAAAAACAATGTGATATTTTTGGCAAGCTGAGTGTTTTGGAGGCTCAAACTGACCAACAACGTAGCTTCACTCCCTGAGGAGTTTGCTTAAGCTGCAAACGGCTTTCTGGCGTTCGAACTCTCTACTACTGAGGAGATACGAGGGATGTTTGACCACGCTTCTGTAGGTTAGAGCCAAAAGACATTGTAAGGGATGTCGGTAGTGATTCTGACGTGCAGACGTATTGTCAAAGGTGAGTACAGAGACGAATATGTAAGCGAAACATTGGGAAACTGGTTCCCTCCGAGGTTTCCCTAAGGATAGCTTTCACTCATTTGCATGCTTACTTTTCTCCAATAAAGTTACTAATTAGTCATTGGGTGCTAAATGAGCTCCGCCTATTCTTAGACTTCAAGCGGATATAAGGTTCAGCTCGCTTTATGGAAGTCGGCCATTGACTGTGCCAAGTCAGCCATTTCTGGTAAGGAGAACTGGCGATATGGGGTGATCAAAATCGTTAAGATAATTGAACCACAGAATGTGTCCTTCAAAAGTTCTCCTGGACGACTTTTCAGTGCTCTACCTTTACTGCTAAATGTACTACCTAATGCCAACACATTTCCTTGATTTACTTGTACGCAGTATATTTACTCTTTCCGTTGATAACACAGAATGAACTCCATGCCAAATTGGGTGATTCGAATGTGACTCCCGTGATATTCAAAACGCAGAGGAAAGGATTTCAGAAGGCAATGTTGCGGTGAGTCTAAATTTTTAGAAAATAGACACATTTAGCGCTCCTTGTTCGGCAGCTATTTGTTATTTTGTGCACAGCCACCTGCGTCATCGTTCAGTAATTGCCTTAACCAAGCACACTCGCCC